TCCCGGAACTCCATTAGCATTGAAACCCATAGGATCCTGGATCTACCCTCGGGATCCAAGAATTTGCGCAGACACGTTTTCCTGCAAGCCCCCTCCATCACAAAGTCTGTGATGACAAAGCTCGAACAAATTACCTCTCCGGGAGCATGAGGTGGCGCGCATCCTGAAGAGGAATCTGAAAAAGTGTGATACGGCTTCAATTGAAAACCAGACGAGCCAGGCGTTGTCGTAAATGTTCAACTGTTCAGTTTAATTCACTTCAACAAGTGGCGCGAAGAAAGCAACGATATCTATACTTCCCAGATGTTGTCACCGCAGTCTGAAGAGGGAGGGGGGAGACACATAAAAAGGAAAGCTTATCAATTTGCAATGCCAACAATCATCGCGTCTGTTTACCAAGACTCCTGTTGCTGCCTTCAAAAGTTCAAGTAACGCCTTCGTGCTCCTGATCATAAGCGGTTTTAGATTGCCCCATGAACTCCAATGAGACTCAGTTTCGGTTAACTACAGGGCCCACAAAACTTCCCGTATGCCTAAAACTTCCTGAACGAGCAGATCTTTGAAGACCACCCCATGCGAGGGTTTGGATTTACTTGCAACCTCGCGCAGCCCCAAACGCTGCGCTGCAAAGCGGTGTAGTTGAAAAACAATGCTGCGAATGGCTGTTCCTTTTGTTTCGAGGCAGCTGTTTGGGCAGTTAGGAGCTATTTCCAGAACTGTTTACATTGAGGGCAACTGTCCATTTCACACGAGGAGCGGAATTAACAAGGCCATCCCGCTCGGAGTTCCAGGCAAAGAAAAAGAGAGGGGCCGGGCACAGAATTACATGTTTCAGGTCCCGCAACCGCCAAGGCGGCCGTGGCGGTTCGACGGGACCGTGGTCCATTGAAGCGGCGGTTCGACGGGACGATGGTTCATTGAAGTGGCGCTCTGGCGGAACCATGGGCCATTGAAGCGGCAAGCCCAGCGGAATGATAATCCGTTGAAGTGACGGTCCAGTAGAATGGTAATCCATTGTAACGGCGGTCCAGCGGAGCGATGGTCCATTGAAGCGGCGGTCCGGCGGAATGATAATCCATTGAAGCGGCGGTCCAGCCGAACGAGGGTCCATTGAAGCGGCGTCCCAGTGGAGCAGCGGCCCAGATCGGCGACCCAGTGGTCAGCGGTCAGCCTAAGCTGTCTCCGCCGGTAGCCGTCCGCAGACGGAGCGGGGCACACCCAAGACAGACTTGCGGCCGGCTGTGACGACGCATCACTGGCGTTATCAACGTACCGAGCTGGCCGCGGCGGAGCACCACTGGTGCTATCACGGCACCGAGCCGGCCGGCCGGCGGCGCCGCGTCGTTATGGCACCATGGGACGCAGCCGCAACCCCCGGCCGAGTTATGGCCCCCGGGGAGCGCTGCGAACGGCCGGGCGACGTCGTTTCCGGTGAGATGGCGGGCCACCGGAACCGCCGCGGTCGGACCAGCGTGCTGACGCCAGCCGCCCGGCCGGAGGGCTGGGCCGGACGGGCTCATTAGAGTCGGAGCGACTTTAACAGAGGCTTGACATGTTGTTGGGAATTTGCGCAATTATTCATGTAACAGGAAGCTACACTGTCGGTCGGCTTGCCGTCACGACTTGCAGGCTTCGTAAAGTTAGATCCACTGCAGCCATGCCTTGGGTGCTCTTTCAGAGTTGAGCGGTTTGCTGGCTTCTCTCGACATATCCCGATTAGCTGCGGGCCAGACGTCAGGGAAGCGGTGCGGCTCGGCACCAGCAGACAGCAACATGGCCTCACATCCCGGCCATGTGGTGCGAGGCTCCATGCCAGCTGAGCCACGGTTCCCTTGGAATGGGCTGGAGGGTTTGTCGCGTTACCGACGGTAGCAGTGAGAGACATCGGAAAAACGGGCGAAGTGGTCAATGATGCCTTGCCATTATGACCCGTGACAGGCTTAACAACAGCAGACGCCTCAGCGAGGCCCTTAAGTGTCAGGACTGCGGGGCCCATGGATAAAGAAAGATTCCAAACAAAGATATGTCAACAACGTGCAGTGGTATCTACGCATTCATGCATTGCATTGCACAGCTGTCTCAGAGTGCACAAACTTGTGTTCTCTTCCGCCGGACACAATTGTCTTAACGATTGCGTTTTTCTGCAGCAGTACCAAACCGATGGCTGTTGGCTGCGATATCTGTTGATCATTGAAATGGCGCGCAAAATATGGAAGCACGATGGCAACATTCGTTTCATGCTATTTGGCACTGCAGCTACTGACTACACTAGGGTGTTTTAAGTTGTCCTCCTCCTGCGACATGATGTATAACAAAATAAATTTTTGATCTGCTGTGCGAAGTTTATGTCGTCAGGGCTTCTTTTGTATGGTGTCAACAAGAGATTAGTAGATCTTGAATTTCATCACACATGTTCTCAAAGACTTTGATGGAGCTGTTGAAGGACCCTCATGATTGCGCACATAATGACCATGTTGTAATGAATATGTAAAGTACTTCCGGGTGCAGCCATGCCGTGTAACCTGTTCGTGCATGATCTTCTCCTGACCATGTTTGAATGGAATGTTCCGCATTTGAGGATGTTCAAAGCCAGTATCAGTTGTCATGAAATAAGCTCACTTATCACTATTGGTGTAATTCTGACTCGAAAATACTGCACTAGGCAACACAATTTCTCTGGTTAGCGAACATGCTCCTCAACACGTTATTGCTGATAACGTCATCGTACGTTGGACAACATTGATTGAGGGTCTATTGACGGTTGTTACATCTGGAAATCGTGCTCATAAACGCCAGACATGAACGACTCAACAACTATATTTTCTTTGACCTTGATCGGCGCATGACAAGTGGAATGGCAGGACTTCAATGGCGTTATTATGGCGTCGTGGATGCCTGCATGACCTTGAAATAGTCCCCCTTACTAGTTTGAACATATTCGCGGGCGTGTAGCTCAGAAACTAGAGGGGTTTAGGCCTGAAGAAGTGCAGGGCTATGAACTGCACTGATTGATCTACAAGGTGATTTTTTTCATCCCAAAACCTCCTGCAAATGTGGAAACACTTCCTTTAACTGCGTCACGATTTCGTGGATCGTATACATGGCGCATGCAAAGTTTTGTCACTGAAACGTCGGGATAACAGCATTTTGTCGTTCTGAAATGTATATTGAAGCAATCAATGTCAGTGCAAATAGCGATCCTTGAATGAAATATCTTTAAATCCCTTCTTCCTATTACTCTGGGTCTACTAGTTTTGCATATATCAGTTTCTGGTTGAATAAAACAAGACGATAACCATATCTTGTTGCATCCCGCGTTCGTGTTCACCGACACCGCCTCAGAGATGAATTTCACCCGACTTCACGGTGACGGAATGAGGTGTTCAGGAATGCAGCAGCTTACGACTCGACACAGCAGGACGTGCAGCCATTCTTAGCCAAATTAGCGGAAACCATGAGGGCATACCGCAGCGGAGGAGTGGGTCGATGGGCTCGAGCTCTGCGCACGCCAGGCCAGCGGGCATTCCATCTCGGTACAGCGCGACAAACAACGCGGAGGCCTGCGACGACTGTGGAAATACGCTAGCAGGTACGGAGACTACGGTAGCGTCCGCCCGGCGCCGGTGGCAGCTGGCCGGGCTTCATCAAACAGACAGGACCCGATGTGGCGTATGTAGCGCAGCTATGGGGTATCATTCTGAAGAACATCTCAATGAAGCATTAGCTCATTCGTCTAGGAGCAAGCAGAAACCCAAGAGTCTCACAAAGATCGCTCGTGTAAAAGTGTTTAGCCCGCCAGGAAGTCATGAAATTTTGTACCTGCCGGAATATTTTCGTTACTAAGAATATGTTTAACCCGAACAAAGCCGAAGCTCCCGACACATTGCCACTTTGCGCTTTGTCTTTAGTCATGAACATATGGGCTAACACCTTGCCATGATAAACCACCACTACCTGGCTTCCCCCCCCCCCCCACGCCATCATGCCCGCGTTTCACCTTGCATCCTTACTGTCACTGAATAGAATACTTTAAGCAAAAAGAGTCCATGCTCTGCACCTTACGGCACCCGCGCCACGCTGTTCACACTGGGCGGTGCACGGCGGGCCTGCATAACAGGCAAGGACGCACACAGCCAAGCTTAGTTCCTCATTGCTTTACGGCCCGAGCTCCACGCACTGAGGTGCTGCCATAGGGAACGCCTTTATTCCAAATATGGGCAAAAGTAGAATCAGCTGATCCAGCCCCATAGAAACATGCAGCGCGTTGGAATGGCGCATTTGAGCGTACCGATAGTGTAGCGGTTAACGCGTCCGCGTTGATCACGACACGCGTCTGGGAAACCAGAGGTACGGGGTTCGATTCCCCGCGGTGCCCGCCTGAGATCGAGACCTGCCTGTTTCCCGGACAAACAAGACCCCGAACAGCGCATCGACCATTGATAGTGTCGCAAGGAGAGCACCGACGACTCACCTGCAAACAAACGCACTTACTTCGCCTCTCGGCCGAGCAGGAAATGGGCTCGGGTCGTACGTCATAGATTATGAATGGATTCACCCCGAAGTAAGAAATGGGTTTCCATTTGCTTATGAAGGTCGGGGCCCCGGTGACATGGGCTTGGGACACAGTTTGCTCGATCCACGTGGCTGTCGTAGTGTGTTGGCGCTTCGTCGCCACCATTCAGAGAACACACTGTTGAAGCGTCGTTGAATAGCCCACGCAAACAGAATGCACCTTGTACCAAGGGGCACCCAGGTCTGTAATCAGAGACAGGCAAATAAACGCTGCCATGGGCCTGCTGAACACACATCCTTAGCCTGATGGTACAGCGCCGACATCCCATGTCAGTAGCTTAAGGCAAAGACCAATATGGGTGGTCCTGAAAAACACAACGGATGTGCCTGCTCTAAACGTTATGCAGTGCCACGTCACATGCCCTGGCCTCAAGTGACCTCAGCCATACGCACTCCGTGCATGGGGAGCTCAGCGTCCTGCGGTGCTCCTATTGCTGGCAGCCGGCGGGCGTCTGCCCGGTGCGCTGCTGCCACGTGCTGCACACGACACCCAGCAGGTCGTCCAGCAGCTGCTTCTGCTGCTCGGCGGTGCCCTGGCTGCCGTCCAGGGTCATGGTCGGCGCAAAGGTCAGCGGCGGCTGCAGCGCGTGCGTCAGCTGCTGGAACTCCAGCGCCTGCTGCCGGGAGGCCGCCGAGCCGGCGCAGGCCACGCCGTCATCCCAGCTCAGACCCGCCTCCTGCAGGCACGCCGGCCCGTCAGCCCGCAGGGTCTTCTGTGCGGCCATCAGGCAGGCCACGGCGCGCGTGCGCACAGAAGCGTCGTCGATGGCGGCGGCGACACAGCCATGCAGCCGGTTGGCCCAGCACTCCTCGGGGCCGTGCTGGCAGTGCACGCTGCCGTCGTCGCTCGAGACGTTGGCCTTGCCCCAGGGCACGAGGGTGACGTTGACCAGGTCGGGCACGCGGCTGACGGTCACGTTCAGCTGATCGACGACGAAGTTCTTGCAGTCCGGGCAGAGGGACTCGTAGTAGACGCCGACGGCCAGCGGCGCGTCCTGACCCAGCGCTGGGACCAGCAGGCAGAGCGGCAGCAGCAGCGAGAGCATGACTGAGAGCGAGCGAGCGGCGTTAGTCCGCAGCTGAGAGATTCTATGGACAAAGCTGAGCCACGGACATCGTTTTATATCCGCGCGAACTGCATGTGGGGCGGAAGTTATATAATCTATAGCGCCTCAGCGGCATTGACTCAGGTGCTACATTCGCACCGCAGCATGGCTGTTGTGTGGCGTTCTTAGCCCCAGGGCTTCCCGTCTCGCTATCGATGTGGGGGGGGGGGGGGGGGGTAAACCTGCTGTGTCACGCACTGCTGGCTTCGTCACCCACCCTCCCTCACTGCACTCTACGCTTCGCACGATAAGAACACATCAGCTCATTACGTGTGCTGCACGGGTGGGGTGTAGGTGTCTCGTCTTTGAACTATCACCAATGTTCCCCAGAGCCGGTAAAATACACAATGCACGCAAATACGTCAATGGGGAGTATATCGACCGCAGCAGTCGTGTATAAACGCCTGCTTATACTTGTAGGTACAGAGCTTTATGCATATCGCAACACTGTGGATGGTCGGCAAATCCGCCCAGCAGACTAAGCAGGCAGAAACAACGCATATCAGAAGTACTATTAGTGGAATTAAATATTCTTCAAACTCTGCTTCAAGCACACATTTAACATAAAGTTAAAGGGGAATGTTTCTCATCTGTATGGAGTTTTGAAATGAAATGGTCATTTTAAGATCATCCGGTGAAGATCACAGCCCTGCCCTTTATTAGACCTAAAACCTTGTAGTTTCTGAGCTACACACACGCCAAGATGTGCAAAATATTTCGCGCAGACTATTTCTGGTCAATCAGGCACGCATGCCGCCATAGAAACGTCATTCAAATCCTTCCACCCCACAGGCCATGCGGAATTCAAGGTCAAGGAGAAAATAATCACCGAGCTGTTCGGATCTGGTGTTCGCGAACATGCCCTCCAGGTATAATGAACGTCAGTTGGCTCTCAGTCATTGTAGAGCAGGCTGGGCAAGTAAATAGTGCCATAACTGAGGACGTGAATACAAGCGAACATCGTAAGTTCAAGGATAAATATGCAAGAACATCACGAGAAAGGGCCAAACAAGAACCCATCACGACACGCGGCTCAGCAAAAACTTCCAGCGCTGGCACGGCCACGTCTCGGGCCACTGAAGTACAAGCGCGTGCTAGGGTGGCGATTTCGTACGGCTAGTTTGGCAGCACCTCATCGTCACACAAACACTCCCTGACGTAATCAAGCAAAGATGTATCGAGGAGCAGTGTAATAAATATTGAAATTTTGTTCTTTAGAGCAGTCTTTTCCACTAAAAAGCATACCAACAGTGAAAAGCGATTTCGTTTCATCATAGCTGATGTTCGTCTCAATACTTTAAAATGTGGAAAATTCCTTCACTAAACGAAGTGCAACGCCTCCGCATGTAAAGCCGTTTGTAAGCCGCATGTAAAGCCGTTAAAGACAGCGCCGAGAATGTGTCATGTTACTATCTGACAACCAAGCGTCTTTGTAAAAAGAAGCACTGTACCCACGAGCAGGGGTGAAAAAGTATCTTTTCTGTCACCGACGAAATTGGCAACCGTCTGAATTGTCACTTGGGGGTCATATCTTTCAGAAACTGTTGCAATATGCCTCTGAATGCAATAAACCACAGAAGGCAAATGCAAATTAAATGCAATGCGGCACAACCATCAAGGATTTTAGTTTCGGACGTTCATTTGTGCTGTAGTTTCATTTGCTGGCCATCAAACACTGAATGACGGTTGAGACTAACCTTACAGACTTATCAGATAAAGGCATAGTTAACATAGCCAGCCTTAAGGTTTTAGATCCTATTCAGGGGGGGGGGGGGGAGGATCAGGCCTCCTAACCAGAGATACAGCTTCCCATTTTAGGCATCATTTTTGTCCAGTTTTTCATTTATTATGATTTGGGGGCCTGGTCCCCAAACAATGATTTTGAGGAGGCACACCTCTGCTGCCAGCTACGAAAAATTGCGTCAAATCTGGGAGAAAACTTTTAAGTGCATTTTGAAGGCAGGCCCAGCCATTTTTATTTCTGCACCCTCCCCCTTCCCCTTCCATTCCTCACCCCTATGCATTTTACAAAACTGCATCTTTGCGGGCTTACAATTACCGATAACATGATTCTACAAGCACCCGAAACAACATCACTTTTGTTTTTACCTTCATCATCTTGGCATAACTATTGCCGGTGCAGAGCTCGCGTTCCCTGACGTGATCCCCATTATTTAGAGCAAAACCCATACAAAATTGGTATCAAGAGATCCAAACTACATCTTTCAACACCTCCAGCACCTTCATTTAGTTTCATATGCAAGATGATGACGCCTAAGAGCGTTTTATTTCATGCCTGTCCACCGATCAGCGCGCTAAGTCTGAGGTGCAACGGCAATGTGAGAGGCCTACACCAGGGATGACCGGCCCCTTATATCAAGGCCGCTATCCCTCCCAGTAGCAGGAAGCCCTGGATGAATTCTTAGCATGTGTCGCTCCAACGACCTCTGCTACAGCTCAGGTATGTACAAACAGCAACACTAGATCGGCAGTACTCTTCAACGCTATTGCCTAAAACTGACGATTAGCTACAGGTGATGGTATACAAGGGTGCCTAATGTTAAAAAAGAGCATTGTACATCAATCGTCGTTTTTAAGGCAAAACATATCGTAACTAGTCGTACAACAGGTCAGGGTGTACTTTCCTACCTAACGTTAGGAAAAATCATTGTACACCATTCGTCGTGTTTAAGGCAGGACATATCGTAAATAATCACAAAACAGGTAGATTCATGCTCTTACCTTCGAATTTTGTACAATTACGATGGCGAGCTCCCGAGCGCCGCGCACATACAGCAGCCGCGACACCCGCGCTACTTCTGCGCGCGGTCACAACATTACTGCGCATCAAGCAGCATCAAGAACCATACAAATGTACCGGCCAGGGTAACAAGAATCCATGAAATTTGATCCTCGACGCCAACGGAACGATGGGTCGCACGGGGGTTGGGTGGGGAATGTAAAGCGAAATGAGATCATGGCGGCTAAATAAAAGCTCACTTTACGGCACCTATATATGGCATGGAACATGGACGCCAATGGGACGCTGGGTTGAAGGGGATATAGGGTGGGGAGGTTAGGTTAGGTTAGGTTAGGTTAGGTTAGGTTAGGTTAGGTTAGGTTAGGTTAGGTTAGGTTAGGTTAGGTTAGGTTAGGTTAGGTTAGGTTAGGTTAGGTTAGGTTAGGTTAGGTTAGGTTAGGTTAGGTTAGGTTAGGTTAGGTTAGGTTAGGTTAGGTTAGGTTAGGTTAGGGTTAGGTTAGGTTAGGTTAGGTTAGGTTAGGTTAGGTTAGGTTAGGTTAGGTTAGGTTTAGGTTAGGTTAGGCCGAGCCGAGCCGAGCCGAGCGAGCCGAGCCGAGCCGAGCCGAGCCGAGCCGAGCCGAGCCGAGCCGAGCCGAGCCGAGCCGAGCCGAGCCGAGCCGAGCCGAGGATGGCCACAGTTTTGAATCAGGATGCCCTGTTCCGGGCAAGCAAGACTCCTTGGTTAGATCAAGAGGCCCGTCGTGAATTGCAAACATCCTGCTCTGGATTAAGAGGCCCCTTCTTTGCGTCGGGAGGCTAGTTTCTAAGAGAAGAGGCCCTGTTTTAGGTCAGCAAGACACTTTACTGTGTAATTAAAAGGCCCCCATTCTGGAATCTCTTAGCCGTCGGCACCCATTTACTCGTATCTTATATATGAAACAGTTTGATAAAAGGGACAAGCCCTCAGTGTTCCAGCCCCTTGAATATGGAAATGCGCAGGAGGCCCCCTGGTGAAAAGATTCCATTTTGTCCAGCAGGCGCCTGGAAAATCCCTTCCCCCAAGCTCAAAACCTGTGGTAGCGCCCCTTCTTGCAATCATCAGTAGATGAATCTGAATGGAGACGCATCAAAAACTGAGCTATCGGGACGACGAAAGGAAGGAAGGGAAATATATGTTATCTTTGTGGGCGAACTTCAGCGTTTGGAAAAATGTCAACACCAGAAAAACAAAATGAAATATTTAGAAAAACAGCAAGAAAGCATAACAAAATCAAGTTAATCATTTTGATGTTGAGCATTGTCGTAGTTCATTTTGAAAAGAGTGGCTGGGCCCCCAAACTGAGATCTTAGAATGCATTGTTTTCTTTTGACTACGTGGTCTTGGTAGTACTTCAGTAGCATTGTGACCAATTCGCTCTATGCGCTCATTTTTTGGGTCTAGATGACATGGAATGCAACCGGTAGCCGCGGTTGCGGGAAAGGTCAAATGACGTCAGACGGTTCTACCCTGAGTGTAACACGGCCAGCGTCAAGTGTTGTGACACATCAAGCTTTCGCCGTGATGTTCTATTACTTACCCGGAGTTTCACGATGTTGAGCGTGGTGGTATCACGGTTCACGAAACAAGCACCAAATAGCGTGGGTACTGACCCCATACATTTCCAACTTAAAAGGTTAGAACGAAGGCCTTAAAAATGGAATGCAGCGACGGATTCCTTGGTTTTCACGTCGGACATGTAGCCGAACTAAGGCCAAATGGTGACGCATGCTTACCACACACTCGCCTGTTATGCGCATGTTCCGGACAGAACTGACTGTGCAGAATCCTCTTCAGGTCACGGCGATTCCGTCCAAGCTTCACCATCACGCCGTCGAACGAATATGTCAGCTGTCAACCACTCCACCTCTCTGGCCTATCAGCTGCCGAGGGTACGCCCCTGGATCAGGACTGTTCCGCGCAGCAATACTGTGCTGCGTGACAGTCTGAGTACTCCTCTCCGTATGGGATAGAAACCATCCCTTCCACATATTTACGGATTGCAAGTTCATGTCTGTTTGTTGCTCGTCACTTAAGCTGCATTGATCTTTGCATGCACCTTGGTGTAAACAAACGCACATGTGATAGTTACTTTGATCATATCTGAAAGAC